ATAAACAGGCAGCAACTAGCAGCAACACCATCTTTGTGCCATATTTACACAAGAATAAACACTTTAAAGGGCATGTTATCTATATTTTACTCTTGTCTAAAGTGGAGAGACAACTGGTCTCTGCCAAACCCACATTAACCCCCCGCATAACATTCCACCATGGAGCCTGGCACAAAATCCCTTTGTCTCAGCTTCTGCAACACAACACAGAAATGAATGTCAGGCCATTGCAATTTTAAAGCAAAGTCAGTATAAAAGGTATTAGAAAATGAGTAAATATAACATTATATACATTTATCCCAACTTTAACACAAACGATTAATTTAGATGAGTCATTAAACATGACATGCTTCTCTTCACATAATGTTTGGATCTTTCTTTCTGCCCCAAATGTATGTTTAAACACCCACTGTACTGTAAGGCTATGTCTGACTTGGGGCACTAAAGGTAATTTCAGGTTGATATGGTATACCAGCTATACTGCTGCCATCAAAACCTTTATTGAAATGTTGGAGTTTGGCCTGTTTTTACTGTAGTCCTGTTTCTCTGATGGTGATTAACAGGATGTGCCCTCTTCATCCTCTGACATGGAAGCTGGCTCAGAGCTCGTCTGCCTGACTGTGTGTTTCCTGGACGGGGCCGGCTGTGGAGCTGGTTGACAGTTGCCTTTTGTATTTCTGCTTCTCTTTCTATGTCTGATTCTGTCTCCTTGAATCCCAGTCGGCCTCGGAAGATGGCCGCTCACACTGAGCCTGGTTCTGCTGGAGATTTCTTCCAGCCAGTTTTTCCTTTCCACTGTCACCACAAGCATGTTTGGTGTGAGGGATTGCCTTCGAGTCAATGAGTTGATGCAATAAAATGGTTTTCCTTAAAAAGTTTGAATCAATTGGACTGTATGATCTCGCTATATAGATAAACTGAATTGATTGAATATGGTGTGGGTATCATCTTCTATTCTTGGTCTAAACTCCACCTGACTGAACAAAGGTTAAAATGGAACTCTAAATTAAAATGACATATCATAACATCTATTCCATTCAATTCTCAAAACTGTTTTGATAATTCTTATTTAGAAACGTTACTCAGTATAACATTTAATATATAAAGTCACTTGCTACAGCTAAAATGTTTAATGCTGATCTGTTTTCCCAAGTGTAATCATAATATATTTTTTCTATTTCAATATATATATATAAAAAAAGTACCAACACCTGAATAATGTTTGCTAACATCAGACAGCATGTTCAACATGTGCTTCCCCTGCATCTGTCTGTAGAACATGCAGCTCAGCTCTGTTTCTCATCAAGTGGCCCATACCATGTGAGGCTGCACAGCTGTCTCTCCTCTTCATCCACTTGTTGGATTTTTGGATAATATTAATATTGTAATTCAGCTATGCTGCTGAAAATGTCAGTTAGTTTGTGATATTTAGGGCTTCACTCTAATAAGGTTGAAGTTTTCCACTTGTCCTCTAAGACCTGGGCATTTATTTTTGCTTTTTTCATGTTTTTTTCACACATGTGCTACTATTTCCAAAGCAGAGGTAGAGCTAAGTTGGCCAATCATTGACCATCCTCATCAGGTAATATGTTGCTCACATGTAGACAGAATTCAGTGCCAGGCATGACGGTGGTGCTGGGGTTGTGACCAATGTACATTTGGTTGTCGACGTGGCTGTATAAAGGTCTAAAATCCAGCCTGGTGACCTGTGCCGCATGTCTCCCCCCTCTCTATAATTCCATTTACTCTCTGCCTACTTTCAACTTTAACTAAATAAATGTTGCTAGAGCTTAAAAAAAGGAAATAATTCAGTGCCTCTGGAAAAAAGAAGTTCCTCTGGTGTAGTCAAGTGAAATTTCCCAACTAATTTGACATTTCCTATGCTAGAATACTAATCCTCAACTTACATCAACAAAAGGAGTAATTATTTATCAACAGTAGAAACAGTAGTATCGAAAGCAGAATTTATAATCGTTTCAAAAAATCTTTGTGCATTATGGGGTAGAAGGAAAAGTTAGGTGTCTGCAACTATAAGAGGTTCTGTGTAATTAGAAAAATAATAATATAACACATAGATGTATTATTATGTGCATAATCATGTCTGTATGGCTGAATCCAGCATATTTACATGTAAAACCCTGTTGTGAGCATGTCAATGAATAGGTATTGTCCCATTTCAAATAAAGAAAAGAAAGAAAGAGTATATACATAAGCATTGGTTTTTATGAAAATCTAGTCTCTTTAGTGATTCAGTTTAAAAATATGGATAAAACTATGTGTTTGTTCATCTTCCTATTGATACAATATGACTAGAGTATATGGACTCTGAACTGGCTTTGGAACCAGGGAATCAGTTTCCCGCCACCCCTCATGTACATTGATCCCTGCAGGCCACCCATGTAAAGATTTTTTGGCTACACCTCTTTTCCAAAGATACCACCCCTCAATCTGAATTGTGCAAATTGTAGCTATTAATGCCTGTTCCTACTGTAGGTCCTCTTTGTTCCCCTTATTGGGATCAACAGTAAGAAAACTATATTTACTTATAGAGAAACTCCAGACTGCTTTGTCTTTAGTTGTCCTTAATGTTTTGCACGATTCAAATGGACTTCAGTCAAATATCACTACTGCTACTAGCAGGCTACTTCTTAATCTCTTTCTCTTATCAAGTTAAAGTCAGCAAAGAATAACCAATGGGTCATTATTTATGCCTAAAACTAACAAGTTTGCGGTGATTTAATGAATTTAGCTTTAATCAGTAAAAAAAATAGAAACAATATTTTTTGTCGCAATCACTGAGTCCGGGACCGGCCATTTTTGCCCGACTATAGTAACACCTCACTCCTGACATCTTCTGGCAGTGACATCACGGTGCGTTAAGCCTAGCGCCTCTCTACCCGCTTTACAAGCAAAATCAATGGGAACTACGAGAAAGATCTGCAGTCAACAACAATTATTTAAGATTTCCAGAGGACTTCACCATCGAAATTCATGGGAGCTATCGTTAAACTGACAACTCCCACGTGCATGGCAGTTGGATGATGTAATACATCGGGTAAAATGAAAAAAAAAAAAGGGTTATTTCACCTTTCCAATTCATGATCCTCCACGGATAATTTCGTCGTTGGATTGCTAACTCGAAGAGGGAGGATTTGCAATCGAACTTCAAGCCAAAGAAAAAACACATAATTAATCTGTTATTCTCTGCTTTGCATAGTGCACTGGTTGCCACCATCATGGCATGGATAATAGCACGTTGTGACAAACAGCAGATACAGCATTAGGACTTGCTCAACAGCCGATACCACAAAAATCGTCACAAACCGGTAGGTGGCAGTAGTGTTCTTTGACAAACATGAATGTCTCTAGTAAAGCACATTCAAATGAAATTACTCTTAATTGAAAACACATAATTTATTGAAAAGCATGTAATAATTTCATACTCACAGTACTTTCAGAATTCTGAATGTGACCTGACTTTTCCTTTAAATAAACATTATTGCCACCCAGTGTACTGGAGTGTTAAAGTAGATTGACAGGAGGAAAAATGGTCATTTGTATGTATAGAACATACAGTTGACTAGTCTGCCCCTGTCCCAGTATTGTACTTTCAGATTACTTTGACATTATTGGGGGAGTAGTACTGAAAGGGTTGTTCAGACGAAGAACCATAATTATTAAAGACAGCAGCAAAAACTGTCATTATATTATGTATCTGCTCCATTTATCAAGATGTATCTCTTATTTTCATGGTTTTATGACATTTAAGGAGCTGTCCATTGTCCCTGCGCTTACAACAAGCCCCCTCTCTATCTGAGTGTCTCAGACTATCCTTAATGCTTAGCCTAAGAGAACACCTGACAAAGGTAAAGTTATTCTGAGGTAAGAGCAGAACAAGCCGGCGTTGCTTTTGCTTTCTTATAACTGTTACACGCTGGAGCGGAGGTGTAACTTTCCCATACATTAAAAGGCCAATACACAGTCAGGGAAAAATGTATTAAACCATCTTCTGTTTTCTTCTTCTTGATTATTCTGAAGGTACAATACCTGAAAATACAATGAGCAGTGCAAAAAATAAACCAAGGCTGGCTGAATTCTTTTTTTCTACATGACTGTATATGAGCAGTGGAAAAATGTAATTTTCACCCAACTAAAACAAAAAAACAAAAATGCTTAAATCTCTGGGGTTTCAGTGGAACGGATGTTATCATAAGCAGCTTCTGCACTGTCTGATGAAGCCTTCGTTGAAACAGCAGCTTACGATTCTGGCTAAATTAAAAGGTTCATTTAGGCACTTTATTTTTATTGTGATAATTGAACTGCTACAATGATTATGACAATTTTTCACTGCTTTTTAATTTCTCTCATCAACTATTAAAAAATATAAAGATTAATCAAGAATCAGTAATATATTCAGCATTGCTTTTGCATGCTTTTGCTATAAAATCGCTACTTTAAATGATCAAACTTTTTGAAATGAAAAATGAATTAAAATAGTAATCCATTTGCAGACTTCTTTAATCAATGTATAATGTGAGGTGCTGCCATAGTTTTAACTGCCACAGTTAAACTCCTTTGGAATTAGCTGCAAATCACTTTAATTATATTCTAGTTCATGACAGCTACCAGCAACAAGTTTACCAGTAATTAATGTAGAATTTATCAGCATTATGTAGGGTAATGTTTTCTTTTTTAATTAAGACATATCTAACTTTCTGTTATGTTCAATTAAAGCATGTGCCATTCTCTATTCAGTATTAAGTACCTCTGCCAGTCTGCTTGTATTCATTTATTAAATATGTCCAAATGAAATAGATAAAAAGGTATGAATTAGTGGCTGTAACATTACCTAAATGTGTATTTATGTTTTTTTGCACTTAAGTGATGTATTTGTAGGGGAGTCCCTGGCATGGGAGGAAGAAATTGGTGGTTCCAGTGCGTCACAGTGAGGCTCTCAGGAGCAGAAGAGCTCTGCGCAAAGCTCTCAGTCATCAAGGAGGCTGAGCAGCAGCAGGTCGCACAGCTGCCTGCAACCCATCCTCTCCTCCGTTTGCAAACTTCAACCACCATTCCCATTATCTGGCTGCATGGCACGCGTACTGGACCGCTTTAGTAGCATCATATAGAAAAAAAAAAACTGCAGGCGTGGATAAACAGTACATTTAATAATTTTTTTCTGTCTCAATCTAGAAGAAATTTAAAGTATTTTTATTCTTTATTTCAATGCGTAATGTAATTTTTTCCAAAGAGCGCAGAGCCACAGCTTCCTTCTGTCATGGAAAACCTCACAGTGGATGACATGACTCTGGAGAATGACACGTCGCTGCAGGAAAACCAGACTCTGGGCGTTTGGACTGACTACTCCGTTGAATACAAGGTGGTCAGCGTGTTCCTGGTGTCCCTCATCTGCGGCGCAGGGATCGTGGGCAACGTGATGGTCATACTGGTAGTCCTGACCACCAAACACATGCGGACTCCCACCAACTGTTACCTGGTGAGCCTGGCAGCCGCAGACCTCATGGTTCTGACGGCTGCAGGGTTGCCCAACATCAGCGACGCCCTGTGCGGGCAGTGGGTGTATGGCTACCTTGGCTGCTTGGGGATCACCTACTTCCAGTACCTGGGAATTAACGCGTCCTCCTGCTCCATCACCGCCTTCACGGTGGAGCGCTACATCGCCATCTGCCATCCCATTAAAGCCCAGTTCCTGTGCACCTTATCCAGGGCGAAGAGGATCATCATGGTGGTGTGGGCGCTCACTTCGGTCTACTGCGTAATGTGGCTCTTCCTGTCAGACACCAAAAAGTTGGTTTACAGCAACGTAGTGCTCATCAGCTGCGAATACAAGGTGTCCAGGAGCCACTACCTGCCCATCTACTTCACGGATTTCACCGTTTTTTACGTGTTGCCTCTCATGCTGGCTACGGTTCTGTATGGGCTGATCGCAAGAATCCTCTTCCTCAACCCGATGCCGTCCGATCCGAAGGGCGGCAGCAAGAAGTGGAAGAGGGAAGCGAGCCAGGGCGGCAGGATGGTCAGCACCAGCTCCTCCAGCAGCACCACGGCTGCCTCTCGGAGACAGGTGGGCTCCTGTTTACTCACCAACACCCACTGACGGGCATGGGTCAGATGAAAAACACTTTTTCCCAACAATCTGAAAAAAAATTTTCTCATCATCCTATAATTGCTCTTATGTCACCTAATTAGGAAACATCTAAAACCATAAAACATCTAACATGAATTTAAATACATGTGATGGAAATTAAACAATGTGACTACATGTCAAGATGGTTAACAAAAAAAATATAGTAGTTAAAATCATACATATAATGTGAAATTACAATTAAGTTTCAACAAACCTCTGGTGTTTTAGTGCTCCTTAAACATTTAGTTCACACATTGTTTTATCTTTTACAAAACATATTTCATTACTGTTTGGTTTGGATTTAAAGTCTTCTTTTTTCCATTAATTTTACTTTAAATCTGCACATTAAATTGACAAAATTAATATTGTTTTAATTTCTTTAAAGACTTAATCCAAAATTATTTAATTATTTCCTTATTTAGATTTAGTTAAATTTTCAGCAGCTCTGGCCTCTAACAGGCCAATGAGTTCAGTGTTTACTGACAAAATAATGTTTTTGCTCCTTAAATAGCCATCATTCAAACATATCTTCCTTCAGAGAACAGTAGAAATAAGAGAAGGAATAAGATAATAAAAAATATTTTTTATCAAATCTTCAGTATGTTATATGCCACCAACAAATACATTGTGAAAGAATTGGGAAGCAGGATGCATTCATATCTCCTAAATGGAAAAAAAAAGTGCAACTGTAGGTCCCCCTTTTGAAACAGCTATTTTGCTGCAAGAAATTACTTATTTATTTTTATAACTTTGTGCATGAAAAAACACCAACAAATCCACTCGGTAACACAATACCACAGCTCTAAGCCAACATACTTACCCTAGGCTTTCAGGATGAGGTCACACCTGGGAAAATATCAAACACAATAATCCCTCTAATATCAGCTGGTTGCAGAAGGATTTTTAAAAAACGATACACCCAAAATGTACACTGAAATACGATGAAAGATAAGACAATCCTACAGCAACCAATCCCTGAAATGTAATTTTACCTCACCAGTAGTGCTGTTCCTATTTTAGTCACTGTGGATCATGTCATCCCTATATGTAGGGTGTATGCACATAATTAAAAAGCTGAATGAAGTGTCATTCTTATAACCTTTACAATTCTTCTGTTTTCTAACTTTACACCCCCATGTCACTGTCATGAGTGTAGTGTAAAAATCATACAGCATCCTCCTGTTTTAGTTTAGCATAGTTCATTGTTAATCAGTTCTTTCTAACTACAGCAGGAAGTACTGATGAATCTTTGGAAAAAATATATACAGTCTAAAAAAATCTGGATTAAAGGGAACCCTGTGTGCCACAATATGGGACAGAGGGTGCTAAACATAGGACTAAAATTCATTGTATTAAATTAAACAAAAACTCATATTTGCTTTTAACTTGAACTAAAATTAATGAAGTAAAAAGAAGTAAATGCATTATGTTAGTTAAAATTCAAACATTTAAACATTGGATTTGCTCCCTGAAAAATTTCCATAATTTAAGTTAAGAAATTAGGCTGCTTCTTTGCTTACGCTCGGTTAGGTCATCAGTCAGAGAGTGAAATAAAAGGTAATATATATATATATATATATATATATATATATATATATATATATATATATATATATATATATATATATATATATATATATATATATATATATATATATAATTTGAACTGCAAACCTTATAATTAGTAAATAACATTGTATGTATGAAATTGAGACTAATTCTTAATTTGGTGGCTTGCACCAGCACTTAGTTGGTAAAAGGCTACCCAAGGGAAAACAAAATGCTCTATAGTGACACTAGTATGCCTTTGGGGTTACTAGCATCATATAGCATGTTTTTTACCATTTTTTATATATATATATATATATATATATATATATATATATATATATATATATATATATATATATATATATATATATATATATATATATGTTTTTTTTTTTTTTTTTTTTTTAACCTATGGAATATTATATACCGTAGTTTGAAATGTTTGCCTTTGAAGTGAGGGAAATATGTATTGTCTCTGCTCTAAAAAAAACAAACTAGCTCCCAACTTTTTTTAATGTTTGGTTAAACTACCCTACCTGTCTTTCAGTAAAGCTAATTCAGAATTTGTAGGGCTTTAAAATAAAGCCCGCACTATTTTGTGTCCATAGGTTATAAAAACATACACTAATTTGATTGGTGATAAAGTCAATAATCAAAATCACCTTTACATATTAGGTATCACATTAACTAGATTATAATGGGTTAATTCTACATTTTTGTTAACGGTAGCAAATTAAACATAAATATATGAGCAAAAATATACTCATATATTTTAATCCTTGCAATGTGTGCATGTGCCAAATTGCACAGATCTGCTAAACCCCTAAGAGTAATGCTACGACAGCAAGCAGCAAGAGCAGCAAAGACGGGCGTGCTGCTTCATTTTTGATGCTTGTACAAATTTAGTTCTAATGCGCGGCTGAAGCATCTTTGCAGCTCCAGCTGCGCGGTCGAAAAGTGGGTCTGATGCGCGTTGGGCGGAGCTACCATCCCTTCTTAGCCTGTAACAATGGCAGCTATATTTTCTGTGATCAGTGGGTAAAAATCAGTTTTAACGTTTCTAAGTGAGATAGTCCACCTGAAAACATAATCTATGCAATCAGTTTATCAAGATTATGATCCTGCCTTCAAATATTGTTTTGCTGTCGAAGCCGCTCAGACCCTCGTACACCGGCGGTGCTCTGTCACTGGAAATCCCGTTCAACGGCAGCCTCTTCGTACGTAATCCAAACTGCAGGCACCAGAATAATAAAATTGATCATATTTTGCCGGCAAGTATCGACATTTTAAGTTAATTTAGGGATTACTGAACTGTTTCAGAGAAGTGATCACAGCGATCTGCATCACACTGCATGAAAAGTGAGATATTCGTCCCCGTAAACCCCCGTAAACTCCCGCAGATCTGCCGGATTTTCGTCAGTTTCCGAAACGGACTCTGACGTATGTGGAGAGCGATCAGCTGTACTAATGGCCCTAATTAGCATATGAATGCAGCAAACCCGCGCGGCTGGCCAGGTCTGGCTTGAATAACCTTCTCAGTATTGGCTGAAACCACTATTCTCAAACAAATGAAATCGCTCGTGATTGGCAGCAAAACCACACGTGGCCACGCCAGGCTTTAATTTTCTTACTGAGTATTGGACGGAACCACTTCTTTTTAAACAAGTAAAGTCGCTCGTGATTGGTTGGCATATATATATATATTTACATATATATATTTATTCATATATATATATATATATATATATATATATATATATATATATATATATATATATATATATATATATATATATATATATATATATATATATATATATATATATATATATATATATTTATTTATTCATTCATATATTTATTCATTCATATATTTATTCATTCATATGGTGTGTATTTATGTTATCCTACACTACTACACAATTATTAGGCTACCATCAAGGACATGAATGAATTTATACAGGAAATGAACATTTGCCAGGAAGCTGTTTATGCAAAGAAAGAGCTTTATTGAAACACACACACACAACTATATACAACGCGTATCCAAACACATGCGTTTCTAAAAATTAAAAGTCCGTGAACGGTCCGTTTGCTTCCTCGGGGTTGGAGGTAACTGGCAGCATTCCCTCCGAGGCAGGTCCGATGTGCAGACGCCTACTGTGCGTGGCTCTCTACTTCGGCATCGCTTCTAACCGGGACTGCAGCTTAACACAGAGTTCAGTGAGATCCGGCCTACGAAATGGCGGCGACCGTACAATCCATCAAGAGACACCGCCGACGACGGCGGACTTCCAGAGTTCCACTTCCTCATCTGCTAGCACACTCTGCCTCGCTTTCAGCAGCTGAAAAAAAAAACAATGAATCAGCGCACTGCGTATGGACACAACACATCTATTAATGCACCTGAAAAATAGTCACCAAATAAAGTCTTACCCTCTTTCTTCTGGCCCGACTCCGAGCAGATTGCCTCCGCAAGCAACGTATTCGCTGGCTGCGTATATCTGAAGCTCCTGCGTACCGTCTGAAAATACGTCTTACAGGCAGCTGGAAAACAATTAAATGAGAGTGGTATAAATAAAAAATCAAACGCAAGTCACAGTAACAAGGAAGGAGAAAACATTAAAACAAGTCACTTACACACAATGTCGTCTTTATCAACATCGTGCAAATCTGGACTTGCTGATATGGTTTCGAGCAAATAGGAGGTCACCGCCTCATTGTGAGGCGACAGTAGTCTGTGAAAACAAAATGTAAAGCTATGATCGGTATCCATCCGTATCCATTGCCTTTTACCGCAGAATGAAAGCATATTCTTTAAATCTTACCCTTGCTCCGGTTCATAGCGCCTGCAATTAGTCTCCGAGTTGTGAAGACGGCGTACTGCTTCCTGTGAATCACAAAAAATACACTTTAATAAAGCTTGTTCTTGCAAGGCTACTATTAGCGGTAGCTTTAGGCTAGGCTGCTATTAGCCGTAGCTTAGGCTAGGCTGCTTTTAGCCTAGCAGGCAGTAATCGAACATATATTTACCGCTAGCATCTCTTCTTTGAGTTCGTCTTGTTCGATGCAGAGTCGCCATCGCGTCCAAGAGTAGTTTTACCCCGAAATCCAGACGCTCCAGACCGCCTGCACAAAGCAAAGCATACATCCTCCACTGTGGCTGCACACCGCGCCGCCGAGTTTCTTGGAGATCGTAAAGAACATGCGCGAGATGAACCAGGGTTTCCGCGGATCAATAAAAATAATTTAAAAATCATTCATTTTTTTTAAATCAAGGCCTTTATTGGCACTAAAATTATTTAAATATGTTTATCGAAGTATTTATAATTCTTTAATAAAAAATGCTTATAAAAACAATTTCGTCAGATATATTATATCGCTCC